TGGGCGTGGTGGTGGGTGCTTGTAGTCACAGCTACCTGGGAGGCTGAGGTAGGAGGATCACTTGAACCTGGAAGGTGGAGACTGCAATTAGCTGAGATTGTGCCTCTGCGCTCCAGCCTGGGTGACAGAGTGAAACCCTGTTTTTTTTTTAAAAAAAAAATGTACTATAGAAAACTCTAGGCTGGGCACGGTGGCCTGTAATCCCAACACTTTGGGAGGCTAAAGTGGGCAGATCACTTAAGCTCAGGAGTTCAAGACCAGCCTGAGCAACGTGATGAAACTTTGTCTCTACAAAAAATACAAAAATTAGCCAGGCATTGTGGCATACACCTGTACTTCCAACTACTTGGAAGGCTGAGGTGGGAGGATCACTTGAGCTCGGGAGGTTGAGGCTGCAGTGAGCCATGATTGTGCCACTGCACTCCAGCTTGGGCAACACAGTGAGACCTTGTCTCCAAAAAAAGAAAAAGAAGAGAGATCGATCTAGTATTCAGAGATATATACAAGATGTAGCCTGTAGCATTGTTAATAAAAAAAAAAAAAAAAGAATTAAGTAGCCTAAATGACCATCAACAGAGGGGCTAGCTAAATAGGACACATCCTTAAGAGAATACTTGGTTAGCCATGATTCTTTGCTTCTTTTTTGTATCATACTATAAAATGTTTTGTTTAGACAGGGCCTAATACTGTCTAAACAGGCTATTTGCTCATATGAAATAGCCCTAGACCATTACTTTGAGAGTTTATATGTATGCTTTTTCAATTTCTTATTGATTGGTGCCTCCATGTGTCTTGTTGTAGTTTGTTCTTATTATATTGGAGGCTTAGGGTATACAACTAAGCTTATTGAAGTTGTGAAATGAGGGAAAATAAATGGCCTGAATTAGAGAACACCTAAAGGGGATCTGCTTTTAATGAAGTATGAGTTGATTCATAAACTCTGACATAAATTTTAGCAGCAAAGAAATCTTTTCCCTTCTTTTTAGCTATAGTTTAGATAGTACAGTTGCTGGATGTTTGTTTTTGGATAGGAGAGGTATCCAAAAGCAAATTTTAAGAATCTGTTTTTTTTTTTTTTTTAAGTATTGTTAATGTGTTTTATATTAACACTAATATAAATGTTAACATTTTATGTATATGTAAGTGTAAAATTTACAGTAACATTAATGTTTAATTACATTAACATTAATAATTACTGTTTAGTCACATTTGGGTTATTTTTGGTAAGACTTAAATCAAGATAGTAGAAACAAGTGTGTTTAAGTCTCCATTCACTGGTCAGACTTGGAAAGATTTAAATCATTTGGTTAATGCTTCATAAATAAATATGCCACTACCATTGTATCATTTCATAAAAGCTATTCCAAATGCAGGGAGTAACTGACATTCTATATATTCATGTATGAATATTAATACACGTAATATTTAATATAGCAATATATATGAAAAGTAGACATACATATGTAAAATAGAATGTACACGTATGCATATATAAAACATTTAAAACTATATTTAAAAGTAACTATATACTTAGCTTAGAATTTCAATTTCTGAAATGCTTTGTGAAATATATTTATTTTTATTGAAAGCATACAAGACTATTCAGAAAAATTAGCCCTGACTTACTTTAACACGTTTTGTACTAAGATCCCGGCAACCACACCCATAGTGGTAGGAAGACTGGCTGCACAAACACCTTCTCGTTTCAGAGTCTTTTCATCAATATTTGCAGCAACTACAAGTGGTGGAGCACACTACATGAAAAAGAATAAAAGAAAACACATTTCAAAAAAAAAAGAGGAAAAGTATGAGATGTTCCAAATAGTATTCCATCCAAGTTTGTGTTTTCTTTGAATTGTAATACATTTTCAATGCCCCTAAGAACTCAAGTACCTAACAGTGAAGAATAATCCAAAAAGAGTAATGCATACATACTGCAAAACAAGCAGATTCTCCAGGAATTATGAGCTGTATATGCCCTGAAACTGCATTTTCACTGACCCCAGATTCCATCCATGTTTGTCCAAGTTCATTACAAGCCTTAGTAGAAATGGGTGAAAACACAAGGAAAAAAAACAAAAGAGCAAGAAGTAATTTACAATACATTCTTTGAACTGAATGGATTACCAAGGTCTTTTAAAATTAATTTTCAGAACAAATGAGGTAAGTTGTTAGATAATGGAATTCCTTGGTAATTACCGTACTCTATTTAAAGAGTAAAGTGACAGTATTCAAGATGCAATCAGTAAATATTATTAAATTGAATCAAAGTTTATTGGATTTCTTGTCAAATTGATGTGAAATTTCACTTTTCTAAAATAATTTCAAGAACAAAAAAAGGCAAAATATCATCTGAAAAGTTAAAAACAATATTCAAAAGGAAAATAATTATTTTTATTTTTGAGAAACCAGGTTTTTAGGCAATTTATACATATTTATACATTTATAAAATAAAG